TAGGTCGCAAAAAATGTCCCCCTTCGATACCTACCACTGTCATAACCACAAGTTGCTCTGGACCTATTAATTAAATGAAATATGCATACACCAGGAATACTGGTAAATATATAAATTTGTGGACTGTATATTAAAAATAATAAATGGTTATATATATACACAATTACATAACAGAAGGAAAATATATCTTAATATCACTCACCAATTTGACTGGATATTAAGTTGTATCATACTCAGAAAAACCTCACTAAATTTATGAAAACACTGGCCAGAATTATACACAAATCTAGAGAGCTTATCTGAGGTTCTTGGAGCTGTCTTGTCCAGTCTGATATCTCAAGTTATGCAGGAATGCATATCTAACAATTTCGCCTCCTATTTGAGAGGTGTCAATCCAATTTTAACCTCTAGAGCACGAAAAATTCTTCCCATTACAACGTTTCTAATACAAATTCAAAACCCAAGATGGCGAGTCTCGTCTGCGCAAACGCAGGTTTTCCGTTTTCTATGACATAAATATTATTAAATACAGTATGGCCATCTATTTACATATAAATACTGAATTTCTGGAAAATATATACAGTATTTTCCACAATGATTAATAGGTCCAGAGCAACTTGTGGATATGACAGTTGTAGGTATCGAAGGGGGGCATATTTTGCGACTTAGGTGTCCCAAATTCCTACTTGTCTAACTGATAAATAATAATTATCTATGTTCATTTACTGTTATGAATATAATGATACATCCAAGTAAATGCAATTTTCCACACTGGCCTACATGCTCTCTTAGGTCCAGAATGAATCTCACCATTTTGTTTTGGGTGATTTGTAGCCTGTCTTTCAGTTTTTCTGTTAAGGCAGAGTGCCATGAAGAGCAAGAGTAGTCTATAATGCACTGTATGAGAGCTAGACATAAGGTCCGGCAGACCTCACAGTTGGTAGACACTGCACCTGTCTGTAGAGGAAATTTAGTCTGGCATTTGCTTTCTTTGCTGCATTGTTCCCTATAAGTTCTCCTGACATGCTTGGATCAAAGGAGATTCCCAGATATTTCACTGAATTTACTGTAATAATAGGCTCTCCATTACAATGGACATTAAAATTATTTACCCTTTTCAATTTATGTTTCGTGCCAGAGTATGGCACGAAACATAAGAGTATGGGGGGGTTGGCCTGTACATTGCAGAGTCACTTGTTTGCACAGAACTGCTTAATGCCTCAAATGATGTAGTGGAAGTTTTAGCAGTAAAGGTCGAGAACCAAAACCTAATCATTGTGGTAGTCTACAAGCCTCCGGATGCAACATCCCAGCAATTCCAGGAACAGCTGTTAAAAATTGACCACTGTCTGGAAAATCTTCCAGCTCCTGCACCCAACATCTTGTTCCTGGGGGGATTTCAACTTAAGGCACCTAAAATGGAGGAATATAGCAAATAATATTGTTGCAGTAATAACACCAGGAGGCAGCTCTGATGAAAACTCACACTCACACGAGCTTTTAAATCTCTGCACAAAATTCAATTTAAACCAGCAAATAATAGAGCCTACTAGACTGGAGAATACGCTAGACCTCATCTTCACTAACAATGATGATCTGATAAGAAATGTCACCATATCAAAAACAATATACTCAGATCACAACATAATTGAGGTTCAGACATGTATGCGTGGAGCCCCAGACCGACATAATGAGATTAGTCACGAGGGAGCATTCACCAAATTCAAATTCAATAACAAAAACATAAAGTGGGACCAAGTAAACCAAGTCCTAACCGATATAAGCTGGGAAGCTATACTAAGCAACACAGACCCCAACTTATGCCTAGAACAGATTAACTTGGTGCACTCGATGTATGCACAAGGCTTATTCCTCTAGAAAAAGGAGGAGTAGATGTAAAAAGAAAGAGACAGGCGCTCCCTTTACAGGCGACGGAAAAGAATAACAGAGCGGCTAAAAGAGGTCAATATATCTGAAATGCGTAGGGAGACACTGGTCAGAGAAATAGCAAGCATCGAACTTAAGCTAAAAGAATCTTATAGGAGTCAGGAATCGCGGGAAGAACTAAAAGCCATAAATGAAATCGAAAGAAACCCAAAGTATTTCTTCTATGCCAAATCAAAGTCGAGAACAACGTCCAGTATTGGGCCCCTACTTAAACAAGATGGGTCATACACAGATGACAGCAAGGAAATGAGTGAGCTACTCAAGTCCCAATACGACTCAGTTTTTAGCAAGCCGCTAACCAGACTGAGAGTCGAAGATCAAAATGAATTTTTTACGAGAGCCACAAAATTTGGTTAACACAAGCCTATCCGATGTTATCCTGACGCCAAATGACTTCGAACAGGCGATAAATGACATGCCCATGCACTCTGCCCCAGGGCCAGACTCATGGAACTCTGTGTTCATCAAGAACTGCAAGAAGCCCCTATCACGAGCCTTTTCCATCCTATGGAGAGGGAGCATAGACACGGGGGTCGTCCCACAGTTACTAAAAACAACAGACATAGCCCCACTCCACAAAGGGGGCAGTAAAGCAACAGCAAAGAACTACAGACCGATAGCACTAACATCCCATATCATAAAAATCTTTGAAAGGGTCCTAAGAAGCAAGATCACCACACATCTAGAAACCCATCAGTTACACAACCCAGGGCAACATGGGTTAAGAACAGGTCGCTCCTGTCTGTCTCAACTATTGGATCACTACGACATCTAGTGCATCTAGGAAGATGCACTAGAAGACAAAAAGAATGCAGATGTAATATATACAGACTTTGCAAAAGCCTTCAACAAGTGTGACCATGGCGTAATAGCGCACAAAATGCGTGCTAAAGGAATAACAGGAAAAGTCGGTCGATGGATCTATAATTTCCTCACTAATAGAACACAGAGAGTAGTCGTCAACAGAGTAAAGTCTGAGGCAGCTACGATGAAAAGCTCTGTTCCACAAGGCACAGTACTCGCTCCCATCTTGTTCCTCATCCTCATATCCGACATAGACAAGGATGTCAGCCACAGCACCGTGTCTTCCTTTGCAGATGACACTCGAATCTGCATGACAGTGTCTTCCATTGCAGACACTGCAAGGCTCCAGGCGGACATCAACCGAATCTTTCAGTGGGATGCAGAAAACAATATGAAGTTCAACGATGAGAAATTTCAATTACTCAGATATGGTAAACATGAGGAAATTAAATCTTCATCAGAGTACAAAACAAATTCTGGCCACAAAATAAGAGCGAAACACCAACGTCAAAGACCTGGGAGTGATCATGTCGGAGGATCTCACCTTCAAGGACCATAACATTGTATCAATCGCATCTGCTAGAAAAATGACAGGATGGATAATGAGAACCTTCAAAACTAGGGAGGCCAAGCCCATGATGACACTCTTCGGGTCCCTTGTTTATCTAGGCTGGAATATTGCTGCACACTAACAGCACCTTTCAAGGCAGGTGAAATTGCTGACCTAGAAAATGTACAGAGAACCTTCACGGCGCGCATAACGGAGATAAAACACCTCAATTACTGGGAGCGTTTGAGGTTCCTAAACCTGTATTCCCTGGAATACAGGCGGGAGAGATACATGATTATATACACCTGGAAAATCCTAGAGGGACTAGTACCGAACTTGCACACGAAAATCACTCACTACGAAAGTAAAAGACTTGGCAGACGATGCAACATCCCCCCAATGAAAAGCAGGGGTGTCACTAGCACGTTAAGAGACCATACAATAAGTGTCAGGGGCCCGAGACTGTTCAACTGCCTCCCAGTATACATAAGGGGGATTACCAACAGACCCCTGGCAGTCTTCAAGCTGGCACTGGACAAGCACCTAAAGTCGGTTCCTGACCAGCCGGGCTGTGGCTCGTACGTTGGTTTGCGTGCAGCCAGCAGCAACAGCCTGGTTGATCAGGCTCTGATCCACCAGGAGGCCTGGTCACAGACCGGGCCGCGGGGGCGTTGACCCCCGGAACTCTCTCCAATAAACTCCAGGTACAAAATGACGTAGGTTGTGACAACAGTCCATCTGACAAAGTTTGCATTTCGTTTGGTCTACATTTGGTGGGGTTTAACCTGCCCAAGATACTTGTAACCCAACCGGAGCTGGGCAGTAGTTTCATCCAAGACATGTACCTGTACAAGGTATACAAACCTAACTGACTTGATATCAGTGACATACTACTATACAGAAAGCCCCTTGCTATGCAGAGCATTTCGGGCAAATTAGGTCAGTTTTTGTCTCAGAATGCGACCCACACCAGTCGACTAACTTCCAGGTACCCATTTTACTGATGGGTGAACACAGACAGCAGGTGTCTTATGGAAACACTTCTTTAATGTTTCCAGCCGTACCGGAGGAGATTCGAACTCTGAGTGCGCTAGCGATCGAGCTACGGGACACTTAATAGGATTCATAATAAAGATATCAGAGTAACTAACTACACTTTAAAGTATTTTTATATGTTTACTTCCTGTATGTACCCTCTCATTCTGAAGTTGGATGGTCTTTAACCCTATGGACTACTGGAATGGTCATTATGGAACCACTGTCACCCGCTCACCACCTTATTTTAATCCCTAAAATAAGGATAAAAGTAAACTTTTCAAATATACAGTGATATATATACATCTCTAGGTGTATACATATATGATGTTAAAATATAAAGTCTGATATAAGAACATAAGAACGAAGGAACACTGCATCAGGCCATATACTCGTTTCAGCATTTTTCAACTACCTACTTACCTTCTTTCACAAACTGTTTCAAACGCCTCCACCAACTCCCAGTAGCATTGTATCTTCTGCACACACCTACTGTAACAACTCCCATTTTTATTAATAAAAATAAATAATAAAGCAGTTATATGTTGATTTATATAAGTGATCAAATGCCCCTTCTCTTCACCAACCTTCAATTGATCAAAGCCTCCTATGGCCTTCACTACAATCCTCTTCACCATCGTGGTGTTGTGTGCAGGTATAACTGTGCTGGTGGTTCAGTGTAGCGACGACTGAGAGTGTATCACCCAGACGGTGCTCACTGTCACATAGGCAAAGACTGTGATCCAACAAGTCTAGTGTGACCTTGTGATATATCAACCCTCCTACCCTTGTAAAAAACTTACCCCCTCCCTCATACAGAGTGTATATCAGTTTAATTACACAACTTGTATAAGTGAGTTTATTCAGGTACAGGTACGCATAAATACAGTTATATAAATTATCATACATAGCAGCATATGTGTGTAGATTACTTAGGATAACCTCCAAAAAAAGTAAGACAAAGTGACTTATTGCGTGTATCTCAGCGTATATACCCGAAAGTCAGCTTCAATCTCTATTTTGGGTATTAAAGTATTTGTAATGTTAATCTACAGGTATATAGACGAATTACTGACTTAATGATCCACGTACAGTTATTTGTTTTAAACCTAATAAACTGACCTTTCCCTGAACCTCTGACAGTTATTTAATATTTTTATTAGGCATTCCATGCCCTTCTTGTGCTACAGATGAGTGCTGACAAACACTACAACATACGGCTGACAGTGTGGGTATCAGAAACTGTTTGGTACAGACACATAAACTAATTAATAATAATATCTTTATTTACTACAAGTACATGTACAAGGTATACAGGCCTAGCTGACATCAATGACATACAACTATATAGAAAGCCGCTTGTTATGTTGAGCATTCTGGACAAATAAGGTTAGTTTTGTCCCAGGATGCGACCCACACCAGTCCACTAACACCCAGGTATCCATTTTACTGATTGGTGAGCAGAGACAGCAGGTATCTTACGGAAGCACGTCCTTAATGTTTTCCAGGGGTACCGGAGGAGATTCAAACTCTGGACCTCAGTGTGTGAGCTGAGTGTGCTAGCGAGCGAGCTAGTCTATAACTAACTAACTCACGTTAGTCTCTCTCCAAGTTTTCAATACCGATAAGTACTACAGCCAGTGGAGGGTTTTGTAGTGCTTGAAACACATTTGGCAGTGACCAATATATTTATTATTCTTATAATTATATTCACTGGGAAGCGCTAAGCTCGTACAGGTCATAGTTCCTAAGAAATGGGAGGTAATAAGATTTGATATTCGGCATAACCAGGAAAGCTATATCCTAGAACCATCAGCAAGCAATACACGCCTTGCAGTATATATATGCAGGATGGGAGGCCATATGCATGCCTTAAATGAAGTTAGTTATTATATGTGAAAATTTATTGACTTCTGTTTGCTATAATTCAACTCAAATGTGTTTATGTATCTAAGGTTAGCGCCTTAATTGTAAATGGTTCTCTGTCATCTATAAATACTCTTAAGTCCTTGAGTCTATTTTAGCCTTCTTTTGTTAGAAGTCAGACATATATTTTAGGACTGTAGACAGTGGAGTCAGCGCACACCTCTGGATTCCATCTCACACTGGTCTTCAGATGCCTAATATAAATGATGAACTGGCAAAGGTATATACCATCAAGGAGGGAGTAGATTAAGATTTCGGGCTAAAATTAATTAATAGTTTGAGGAAAGTAATACGAAAACAACTTAAATTAAAGTTTATTTACTTGAGACCGAGGGAGATTAACACTAGCCAGTCCATTATCCTTATCATGCAGGAAGAGCCACATGTGTATGGTGCATCTAACAAACTAGGAGGCTCTTGTAATATATAAACATATAAATAATTCATTAACACTGTAACTTGTTTAGTTATCAAAACTTTGAGGTCCATTCCCTGGACCTTTCTGTAATCTTTTGACTACTGCCCACACTGGGTATAGGGTGCATGATAAAAATATTTAACTGAACGTCAATAAAAAAATATTGACAATAATAAGGAATAGTTTATAAACATTTGTAATTTTTTTTACAATACCTTAGTCATTAATTGAGTCAAATAAACCTTAAAGGGTGGTGAGGGCAGGCAGGGAGATGGTGTGGGGGAAGGATGGAGGATAGTGAGCGCAGGAAGAATAGTAAGGACAGGGAGGAAGATAGTGAGGTCAGGGGGAATGGCGAGTGGGCTGGATGGGAGGGAGGGAGGGATACTTGTGGGTGAACAGGACTTTCTATCTCAGTGATGCAGCCTCTTCTCACTTCACTATGCCGGGGAGGGGCTCTTGATCCAAGGAATTGGAATTATGCTTCGCCTTGTTTTCAACGTAATTATACTTTCCATTCCTAGGAATTGTGTATAACCCCTCATCCTTACGGGTTTAACGCTTCCCAATGACTAAAATAATTTTGCCTGTGTGAATGTCTTATAGAAACATAAATTTATGGGGAAGCGGTTAACCCGTAAGTTTTATAGTGTCTGGGACAGAGGCGGTTTGAGTCAAGGAAGGAAAGAGCAGCTCTAATTCCTGAGATCAAGAGCCCGTAACCAGCATCAAGGCACACCCCTTGACGGGTGTAGAAATAGAAATGATTGGATAATTATGACATGTAGGAGGAATAGTCATTACTACTACTGATTGAATCTGCTGCCTCTGCTCACCTAGCAGAGTACATGCTTAGCATTCAGTTGTTACTACTGCTTGAACCTGCTGCTTCTTTTCACTTAGCAGTGAGTGGATACCTAGCAGCTAGTTCTTATTGTTACGAACATTACCCACTGCTGCAATGTTTTTATCACTTCTCAAGTTTCCATCACATTAGCTTCCAGTTTTATACCACAGGTACACATACCTTCACTGTTGGTAAGCATGGCTACAAGTAGGTATCTTCAATCCTGGTGAAGATGCAGGTATCATCACTGCTGGTGAAGATACAGGTATCATCACTGCTGGTGAAGATACAGGTATCATCACTGCTGGTGAAGATACAGGTATCATCACTGCTGGTGAAGATACAGGTATCTTCACAGCTGGTGAAGATACAGGTATCTTCACAGCTGGTATCATCACCAGCTGTGAAGATACAGGTATCATCACAGCTGGTGAAGATACAGGTATCATCACTGCTGGTGAAGATACAGGTATCATCACAGCTGGTGAAGATACAGGTATCACTGCTGGTGAAGATACAGGTATCATCACTGCTGGTGAAGATACAGGTATCATCACTGCTGGTGAAGATACAGGTATCATCCCTGCTGGTGAAGATACAGGTATCATCACTGCTGGTGAAGATACAGGTATCATCACTGCTGGTGAAGATACAGGTATCATCACTGCTGGTGAAGATACAGGTATCATCACTGCTGGTGAAGTTACAGGTATCACTGCTGGTGAAGATACAGGTATCATCACTGCTGGTGAAGATACAGGTATCATCACTGCTGGTGAAGATACAGGTATCATCACAGCTGGTGAAGATACAGGTATCATCACTGCTGGTGAAGATACATGTATCATCACTGCTGGTGAAGATACAGGTATCATCACGCTGATGAAGATACAGGTATCAACTACATTCACTGCTGGTGAAGATACATGTATCATCACTGCTGGTGAAGATACAGGTATCATCACTGCTGGTGAAGATACAGGTATCATCACTGCTGGTGAAGATACAGGTATCATCACTGCTGGTGAAGATACAGGTATCATCACTGCTGGTGAAGATACAGGTATCATCACTGCTGGTGAAGATACAGGTATCATCACTGCTGGTTGAAGATACAGGTATCATCACTGCTGGTGAAGATACAGGTATCATCACAGCTGGTGAAGATACAGGTATCATCACTGCTGGTGAAGATACAGGTATCATCACTGCTGTGAAGAGACAGGTCTCATCACTGCTTGTGAAGATACAGGTATCATCACTGCTGGTGAAGATACAGGTATCATCACTGCTGGTAAGCATGGCTATCAGCAGCTCTCCCACTAGTTGCCTTGCGCCCGGGTATCTAACTTTCGACCTTCAGTGTGTGAGCCGAACGCTCTGACCGCTGAGTTACATGGCACCTTGTAAATAAGAAAATAAGTTTTTATTAAGGACTCATGGGTAATTTAATTTTTTTACAGTGGTTTTTGTATGGTAAAATCTATAGAACTGAAAGTCCGGTAATACAATGAAGTCAAACAATGTGACTTATTTCCATTGGTAACGTGAAGTATACCATTGTTAACTGGCGGGCAATACAAGTATTGTAAGAATAACCTTCCTGAATGATAGATGTGTTAGGTAAACATATTTAACCTTGTAAAAACCATACACATGTGCCAAACTGCACATGTGTATAAAATGTATGAGAAAATGCTTTTTCAGCTTAGTCGCAATTAATATGAAAGTAATTCAACACTATAGATATTAAAAAAATCTTTATAAACAGCTGTAATTACGGTATATATTACTAAAAAAAATAAAACACAGCAACTGCTATGGAGAAGCATGGTCATGTATCCCTCTATTATCCTCTCTCAAATCATAGTTTGCTATTCTGTTTGCAGGTTTACTAAGATAAGATGTTGTAATAATCACAAGAGTATATTATATGCCACTGGTTGTTGTAATATCAGGCTAGTATTTATAAAATATAATAATAATAAACAGTGTGGTGGAGTTGTGTAGAGCGGTGGGGGTCAGCAGCAGCAGCAGTGCTCTACACAACACATATACCACCTGTCCTACCCACATTATTACCTTATTTTCCACATGCAGGCCTAGCCTATCCCAGGTACGCCACTCAAACTCTAATATACGTGTTTCTTTATAGTTATATATTTTTTGTCTTTCCTTCTTGGCGTTAGAGAGCATTTGAGAGACTTTTACTCGTTTACTGGAAGATTTTTGGAAGAGTCTGCCAGTGGTTGTCCTCCCAACACTTCCAGAGCAAGAAATATTGTTCTTATTCCACTACAAATGTCATAAGGAAAGTGGAAAACGCAAAGGTTATGGATTTATTTCTGTGAAGGTCAGGCACAACACTGAGGGAACTTTGTTGGCTTTGATATATATATTTATATATATATATATATATATATATATATATATATATATATATATATATATATATATATATATATATATATATATATATATATATATATATATATATATATATATATATATATATATATACACACACAGAATTTATTTATTTATTGTGGTCTGTTTAGTGTTCTAAAATTAAAATGATTTCAATTCTAGCTGTTACAGGTATTGCAAAGGCAATATATCTGTTGATATAAATATCCTCTAATATCATTTGGTGTATCATGACTGCATTTCTTGAGATCATGG